AAAGCCAACTGAATATCTTGTTTGGTGTGCAAAAGAACCGTTCTCATATCCAAGAAGGACACTCACATCATTGCTACCGCGATTGGCAACAACGATATCTAGTCGAGTGTCGTTGTTGAAGTCACAAACAGCAACAGAATATGGAATGATGCCAGCTGAATATCTGATTTCTTTTGCAAAAGGATGAAGATTGTATGCAACAAAGATATCTACATTATCTCTTTTGTCATAAGTGATAGCGATTTCTGATCGTTTGTCATTATTAAAATCACCAGAAGCCACAGCTAACGAACGTGAATCAAAACTAATTCCTCCACTTGTTTGATTTGCAAATGTTTCGTTCCCATATCCAAGCATCATACCTACTTGTTTTGTACCATAATTGACCACAGCAATGTCTACTATACTGTCACCATTGAAGTCGTCAATAGTAATCGAAGTCGGATGAGAATTTGAGTCTGTGGTAAGTATCATTTGATTTTCGAAACTACCATTTCCATATCCGAAAAGGATACCTATATTATTAGTGCCGTAATTAGCCAAGACAATATCAACATTAGTGTCGTTATTCATATCACCAATCACTACACATTGTAGGCTAGATCCATCACCAGATGCATAGGCCATTTCATATGCTATCGTTCCTCTGTTATTTTGCAGCAGGACACTTACATCATTGCTAGCCGCATTGGCAACGACGATATCTAGTCGAGTGTCGTTGTTGAAATCACCAACAACTACAGAGTTTGGCGAAAGGCCAACTGAATATTTTGTTTGTTTTGTAAAAGAACCGTTCTCATATCCAAGAAGGACACTCACATCATTGCTACCGCTATTGGCGACAACAATATCTAGTCTAGTGTCGTTGTTGAAGTCACCAACAGCTACAGATATTGGACTAGAGCCAACTGAATATCTTGTTTCTTTTTCAAAAGAGCCGTTCTCATATCCAAGAAGGAGACTCACATCATTGCTCATCTGATTGGCGACAACAATATCTAATCGAGTGTCGTTGTTGAAATCACCAACAGCTACAGATTGTGGATAAGAACCAACTGAATATCTTGTTTCTTTTGCAAAAGAACCGTTCTCATATCCAAAAAGGATACTCACATCATTGCTAACATCATTAGCGACAACGATATCTAGTCGAGTGTCATTGTTGAAATCACCAACCACTACAGATCCTGGCCAAGAGCCAATTGAGTATCTTGTTTGGTTTGCAAAAGAACCGTTCTCATATCCAAGAAGAATACTCACATCATTGCTCAACTGATTGGCGACAACAATATCTAGTCGAGTATCGTTGTTGAAATCACCAAGAGCTACAGACGTTGGCCATTTGCCAACTGAATATCTTGTTTCTTTTGCAAAAGAACCGTTCTTATATCCCAGAAGGACACTCACATCATCGCTACCGTAATTGGCGACAACGATATCTAGTTGAGTGTCGTTGTTGAAATCACTAACAGCTATATATATTGGATTAGAGCCAACTGAATATCTTGTTTCTTTTGCAAAAGAACCGTTCTTATATCCCAGAAGGACACTCACATCATTGCTACCGTAATTGGCGACAACGATATCTAGTCGAGTGTCGTTGTTGAAATCACCAACAACTCCTGATCCTGGCGAAGAGCCAGCTGAATATCTTGTTTGATTTAAAAAACCTTCATATTGACCAAGAAGAATATCTATGCTACCAGTATCATTGTTTACGACAATGATATCTAGTCGAGTGTCCTTGTTGAGATCACCTATGGCAAAGGAAATTGAAGAAGAAGATCCGGTTGAATACGGGATCGGATTTTCAAAACTGCCGTTTCCATGTCCAAGAAGTACACCTATATTGTTAATGCCATTATTAGTGATGACGATGTCTAATCGATCATCTTGGTTGAAGTCTACGACGCTAATTGCATATGGAGAAGCAGAACTAGTAGAATAGGTGACTTGATTAGCGAAAGTTTCATTGCCATTATTTATAAGTACACCTATTTCATAAATTCCAAAATTGGCGATTGCTATGTCGGCAAATCCGTCATCATTGAAATGGCCAACAGCGATTGAATACGGATGTGAACCAACGCCAGTGAAAAAGGTGATTTGTTTTTCAAAAGTGCTGTTGCTATTTCCAAAAAGTATACCAACATTATTCGTGCCATAATTGGCGACAGCGAGATCTAAATAGTTGTCATTGTTGAAGTCTCCAGCAGCTAATGAGGATGGCAGAGAATCATAACCTGTTGAATATGTAATTGGAGGCGAAAAATTTCCATGGCCCTGTTGGTAGAATATGCTAATACTGTGAGTTCCATGATTGGCGGTGGCAATATCAAGTAGTGAATCATTGTTGACATCAGCGACAATAATTGCTATCGGACGAGATGAGCCTGTTGAAAACTCTATTTGACTTGAGAAAGATCCATTCCCAAATCCATGAAAGATACCAATATTGTTAGTGCCGAAATTAGCTACCGCGATATCCAATTGGTAGTCATTGTTGAAATCCTCAACTGTGACCATATAAGGACTAGAGTAGGAACCTGTTGAATACATAATTGGATTTCTAAAACTGCCATCACCTTTTCCCAAAAACACAGCTATTTTGTTCACTATATGATGGGCAATAACCATATCCAAAACCGTGTCATTATCGAAATCACCGATGGCTACAGATCGTGGACCATACTTGTATTCAATTGGCTTTTGAGGCGTCGGTTTAAAATTGAGACCACACTTTGGAACTAAACGATGCATCAAAAGCAAAGTGATGACTGATTGTTTGCTCCAGTAAAACTATCCATCCTAGATTGTTTCGAATTATCGAAATTCCTATAATATGCTGTCAGAAATTATCGTCTGACTCTATTTAAAGATAATTCAAAACTATCATCTTTCAAAAGAACTCTGCTTTGTTTCTTGGAATTCAGATAAATTTAAATATGAAAATTCATCAACCAAGCCACTTGTCTGTTCTCATCTTCTCATTTACTGTAGAATTCGTTCAAAAACTGTGTTGTGCCACACTGTTTTAGAATCAAACGGATATCAAAACTGTTGTATTGTATAATACTCTCAGTCATCCAATCAGTATTTTGGATTGCTGACTATAACAACAAACAGAATATAACAAAGTCAGCTACGAATATTAAAGAATAACAATGGACACAATTCTGACGATAAAGAAGGGAATGTGAATCTATCGGTTGACTAGCTATGTACAAATAGTACAGTATATAACTGAAGAAGATGAGAACAATCATACAAGGAATAACGACCTACAATAGTGAATGTATTTGTCAGTACTTCCGTTGTACAAAGAAGGAATGTTCATCGATAGTTTTTGAGTGACAAATGTGTAATTGTTTATTTCTGCTCCTTTCCGTACAGTGAGCAATAAAAGATTTCTATCGTTCTGTTCAAAAACGAATAGTAATGCATATTCTTTTCAGCTTTTAATCACAGATGTTCGATTACATCTTATTTTAGTTACAGGATAATTGGTCTGATTTCAGGTTTTATAATACTTATAAGATGTTTTAAGAATTGCTCATTTTTATTATTGAGACATGTAAAAGATTGTGAAATAGAAATGAATTTATACTATCTGTTTACTTTGTGAAGATAGTCGACTACTAACAAGCTATTAGTCAAAGAGAAGTAGTATTTTATAATGGATATACAAAACATTACTGTTTCGAAGAGTGATAACGAAAAGAATTCACTAGAATGTAATAAAGATATGAGAACTCAGTGCCGAATACAACATAGGACACACATGAATCATACAGAAAAATAAAAAGAAAACGACTGTATTGGTACATACTAGCAGAACGAAAGAAGATAAAGATGGAATACATATAATACTTACTCTCGTCTACCAGCAACATAAAGTGAGAAAATGTAAAGAAGATGTGTTCCGTGAAGGAGAAATATTTACTTTCGTCACGTTCTATGAGAAAGTCACTAGTATTTTCTCTTATTCTTTCGGATTTCTATTATATCCAAAACTATATCAATGAGATAGAGAAAAAGGCATCCACGATAAGCTGCTATTTTCATTCAGAGATGTGAAAGAATACCACCAAAAATAATAGCAAAAGTGATTAAAGAACACTGAATTTGATAAGGTTGATCATCTTGCAACAAATAACAATGCGTAACATCAGCTTGTAAAAAATCAGATCGTGAAATTCTTGTTTTATTGAGATATGAGAAAAAAAAGATTATAGAAAACGCAATAATCTCTATGTTAGAGAAACTTATTATTCTGTTTTCTTTAGAACAAAGTGGCAATGAAATGATTCTTTTGGGAATTCTTTTCTAATCGATATTCCCTACCAATAAGTAAAATTAAATGATCTCACTTATGAACAAAGTATCAGATCTATTGGTGATCATCACCTTGGGTGGTTTGTATTCGTCAGTGATAATTTGAAATGGAAATGTGAAGAAATTGTAATGCTTATACTTCTGTGCTCGCTTGATGATTTACTTCGAACATGTCGATATCAAATATTATCACAATTTGAGTTTTATTAACCAAAACTCACAATACTGATAAAACAGAATCGAATTAACTGTAGATTATTATCTGATTGAATACGAAGAATACAAAACAATAAATACGTACCTGGTGATTTTGGTGCGGTAAAACAAACTACCAGCATACCTATGACCGTGGCTATACTTGTAATCAAAGGCAATACAAAGACAGGTTTGGTTATAAAACCCAACATTAACCAGTAACAAAATTTGCTAGAAAAGAGCAACAATGATGATATTTGACATCAAAAGAAAAAGTCATACATATTCTGTCGAATCGTGTAAGTTTTTATTCGATTGATAGTGTTATTCTGAAGGTTTCTTGCATTTTGTGCATTTGAAATTGCCTTTAGCTTGCTATTTGAAGTGACAAACACACTTTTCTTAGGCAATGAAGGCTTGACTGATTGACTGTTATTATCCATAGGAACCATTTCAAACTAAGAAGAGACAATCGTTAAGGAAGAACACGTATCTGACATGAGCATAGAAATATATTTCTAACTATGGAGATTTTCTACACAAAACTGTCCATGAAGTATTTCTGCTTAATCTCTTCAGTCGATATACGTACAAGCATACAATTATCTGTGCCATTTCAACGATTTTTCAACTATTAAATAAATATGTTTTATATGTTGGGGACACTGCACAACAGTTTTGGCGATAAACTTATATTTATGGTTGCACCGATTCTGGTTTCAGAACAGGAACCGGTGGAACCGGTTGGAAGTGTTGGATTAATTAAATCAATTAGAGGAATTAGAATTTGATATTTCATCAACTATAGTATCTAAACTTGACTTAAATAGAAAAATGAGGATTTCGATGATAACATTGCCTTTTATGCACAATTTTCGACGGCTATATAGAAAATTACTGCTTGACCCTTAGTATTGCGGAGAACTATTTGATATCCTATATCCGATTACTTCTACACTCCACTCTGTGTAACTTCTATGAAGTAGATTCTTGTTCGATTGGGTTCCTTACATATGCGTCTATCATTCAGTGAAAAGTTAGCACTCTTTGATAATGAAATGTTGAAAGACCTAAGCGATTTATATCTTTTATTATTCCTCGTAAACCGTGTAAAAACTAAATATTGGGACTACAGGGTGGAAAACAGACAGAGCACGAAAGAGAGCTTGGCATGGAACAAATTTTTCTGTCCTATCCTGAAGGACAGGACACCGTAATCAAGTCTCCCTTACAGAATTACTTGACAGTCAGTAACGAGTTTTTTCTCGCGATCTTATTCGCAAAATAAAACCTTTTTTTAAAGAAATTCTCTTTTTTTTTATTTCTAAGAAAATTATTCTGTCCTAAAAGGATTACAATTCAAAAATTTAATTATGGCACTCAGTTCAGAGATACGTTAACTTCATGGCCTAAATTTTGCTACATAAGATTGATTGAAAAAATTCAGATTATAAGAAGCCGTAACAGGTAACATGCGTAAGTCATGCTTTATAAATCGATGATGATGCCATACACAACAATGGTTGCTAACAGAGAATCTACGTTGGTTGTCAGTGCAAAACAGAAAGTTTGCTCCTCATATGTTGTTTTGATCGTTTTTTATTACAGCTTACCGACTGCTCTTAAAAAGCGAGCATGTGTAGAGGGCACATGAGCTGTTAATAATCGATATCACAGCTGTAATTGTTCTCGACCACTTCTCAATGGAATACGAATAGGGATGTACCGAGTAGACATGTGCGGGACCAACTTTTTTTGGTCCCGGTCCCGGTCGCGGTCCCGGTGAAATTGAATTTTGGTCCCGGTGCGGTCCCGGTCCTGGTGAATTTTTTTTTGGTCCCGGCTTGGGTCCCGGTGAAAATTTTCATTTGGTCCCGGTCCCGGTCCCGGTGGAAATTTCCCTTTTGCTGCTGATTCCGGCGAAATTCTGTTTTTTAGTCCTGGGCTCAGTTAACACATTCGCTACGATGTGGCCTAACAGTGAGCCACGCTACATTTTAACGAGAAACTGTATAGAAAAGTACTTTATTTTTCTTTATTCTTAGACAGGAGGCTGAACATAATGCTTTATCTGTTCTGCCTTCAGAACTCTTTTTGAGTCCGTTATTCCATAGCATGATGGGTCTTGTTAAAAAAATCAAGACAAAAAGAATTGTTACTCACAACAGAACGTTTTTACTTTCTTTGCTACCGCATAGCTCACTTCTCTTGACTGTTGTGCCCTTCCTTTCGCAAAGCAGCCAGTACAGCGTCTGCGGACATTGCCCTTAAATCCTTCCTTTTCTTCGAGCTTGCGATTAGTGAATTCGCGCTTGAATTGGGTTGCTGATTCAACTTCTCGAATGGCATGTCATGCTGAAATGACCTCACAGGAGTTTCGCCAAACTACAGGATGGTTACTTCGCTACATGTGATATTACAAATGGAAAAGAGAAAACGACAGATCAGTATAGGATGAAAAGAGCAAGCAGTGCATTTATCGCAAGATGAATGCAGACGAAAATTAATCTCTAGAGCTACTCTTTAATAAAACCGAATCGCGTCGAATGTGTTAAATTTGGTTTTTGTTCTACACCCAGTCTAAGTAATCTTACTTTTTCTGTTATTGGTCCATAGTCAGAGAAGTTGTTGCAGAATCTGCCGGTTTTAGATCTGGAGCAGTTCTCACTTCTATTTCCACCGATGTTTCTTATCAACGGCAAACATGACCGGGACTAAATTGTTTTTCGATCCTGGTCCCGGTCCCAGTAAAATTCTATTTTTTGGTCCCGCACATGTCTAGTACCGAGACTAAAAATAAGGTTTTGCATTTTTTTGTAAAATAAATGCTTAACTGTGAAAACACATGGCTGGCAAAGTTCTTGAAGTACATGATGTTGTAGAGCAAACATTTTTCTATAAAATGAGAGGCGGACAATATTGGTACAATATATGGTTCAATTTTTATTACAGTTATACGAAAAGCTCTAAAACCGAGACCGAGATCGAGACTCTCGGTCTCGGTTTTAGGGCTCTTCGTAAAACTGTAATAGAACTTGAACCATACGTCTCACCAATCTCGCCCACCTCTCATTTGGTAGAAAAATGTTTGCTCTACAAACATATATGTTGATCAAAATTGTACCGCATTGCTTATAATGAGAGCAACCTCGAGAAAAAAGGGTAAAAACCGAGAAATACTCGGTACATCCCTCAATACGAAAGCGAAATTCCTTACATAGTATTGATAA